GCGATACGAAGGAAACTCCAACACACAAATACTCTAAATATGCCGCATTTATAAAGTACCCCCTACCGAAACAAAAGTCATTTACTTTATCCGCATGTCGTACAAATGACACATATCAGTACACATAAAATATATCTACAGTATACGCGTGGCAACAAAATCCTGAATGTCCAGTCACGGATACAGCGAAATTGAGATGCGTTTTCCCGGCAATACCTTCTTGCATAAAATTCGCGGTAATCATGTATGCTGGAGGCTAAGATTTCACGCAGCCCAAAGATGCAATTTCGCCGTCCCAGCCGACGCCACTTTTCATCTGAATGAAAGCAAAGGCAAAAACGTGTCAGCACATGATAAAGTGTGAAGCAACAACCGTTTTTGCTGTTATCGATCTGACTGCTTTAAAATTAGCGCATGAACGGATGTTTACACTGGCAAAATTGATGCGTTGCAATTTGGACTGTATTTGTGCAAGCCGATCAGATGTTTGAAGCCGATCAGACGTTCCAGAGGAAAAAGCAGATTCGGAGCATCAGCGGGAGGAAAAGCGCTTTAATCTTCATTATCGTTATGACTTTTTCGGCTGGTTCGACGAATATGAACAACAAACATTAAAAACTGACTAATTCAAGAAGACCTGCGTTTATACTATCTTGTCCGAAAAATTCACCACTGATTCCTAAGTGATGTGACCGACAGCAAGCTATTCTCCTTCTTTATTTCACGACTTTTTTTGGTCAATGTTGCACCGCTTGGCGATTAGCATTCTGAAAATTCTGAGTTTATTTTTGTCTAATGAAGAACCTCTCTAAGAACGGGACTTCCATCGAAAAAATCTGGTAGCTGGAAAATTTTTTCCATTCTTCTTTTTGCAGAAAAACATGTCGAAAGCTTTTTTTTAAAAAAATAATTGAGTGCTAACGGACATGCAAGTACCATCATCCTTATAATAAACACTTGAGAATCGGTACCGTCAGTAAGCAAATCTCTGTACAGTTTGTTCGTACGTTTTTGATGAATAATTAATACCAACATTAGCCTGCCTCTAAGCAATCCTTATAAAATGAAAATGTTGTCACCCTCGGTTGCTTTTGGTGATGGGCTACCGGTAGGATTGCTTTCAAGTATCTTCGTTTTCACAGACAGCAAAATTTGTCGGGTTCGTCCTATTAAGTATTATTGTATTTTTATTAGTACACAAACAATGTGTAAACGACTAACGAGTGACTGACGTTAATATGTGGTAATTTTACTAAAGAATTTTCCTCTACTAATTAAATTTTCCACTGCATAAAAAATCCATATGTACTCAAAATCTGATTTGAGAATTGATCAACGAACGCTTAACACGAATGATAAGTTTTAGTGCAAAAAGGGTAAAAGTAATAGAAATTGCGCTTTTGATTTTATTACCACTGAGTCCGATCTCCACTCAGCTCTACCTAGGTATTTTTCCAGTAAGTTGTTGTTTTGCCACAACAGTCTGCGTTTTTTGGACTCCAGAACATTCCCCTTTGGCAGTTCGACTTTCATTATTATTTTAAAGGGAAAAATTCTTGATATTTCTTAGCTAACTCTCTACCGAGTGTAGCACATTAGCAAGCAATGTTGTTGTTCCGCAACAGGTCGGGGTTCGGTTCCGCCGATGTTGCAGCCAATTGTTCATTCTTTCTTCGCCTGCTGGCGTATGCCTGAGAATCAAACCAGCCATCAGCTTGGTTGTAAGCAATCCTCGAACGAGTGAACCATCGATAGCCTTATGAAATGCAGTGAGAAGTGCTGCTGTCCGGTCACCTCCTGAGTGCCTCTGTTTCTAATAGAGAGCAAACGCGGAGAGGGCTCTGATTTTTGAAGTCTGTCGAGGCTATTGCTGTAAAATACTGCACATTAAAATACTGCTACATGCACGCGTAGCTCTACCGGATCCTAGCTCTCAGGAAATCAAAAAGCGTTCTCCTTATGAAAAGAAACTGACAACAGTAGCCCGCATTCTTACGAAACTGACACCTGCTGTCGATTTCACCTCCTCCATTTGTTGATCAAAAGCAAACTGATGGCTGGTTTGAGTCCCTGGCTTATGCTAGTGCCAATCTACCATCGAAAAAAATGAGCGGACCATAGAGAAATTAGTTATCTCACCAAAAAAACTGAACCCAAACCTACCGCACGACAACAGTCCAACTTTTCATTGCGTTATGTTTGTCAACATAATTTTTCATGATGGCAAAAACTGTCAAACAATATACGCTAGATCAAGATACTTAAGGATATCTTCTGATCGTAAAAAATTTACGAAATATAACTACCGCACAACACATACATTTTTCAAAAAGTTGACTAGAAAATCAAAAGATAAATAAAAAAACGAACTGACACAAGCAAATGTCGGAAATTAAGTGCTACAAATTTCTAGCTGCTTCTTTTATCGTCCAAGCGCAAATCCCAGTGGCCGCTTGTAGAAGGCTATAAACTTAAAGCCAATTATAATATTTAAAATAACAAGAAAAGCACTATTTCAGGAAAATTGCTTTCACATCAGCCAGGAAAATGGACAGTCTAGTACTGGCTGGAATTTTGATGGTACCACTCTTAATTTTGGGAATGTTTGGCAATTTACACTTGGTTTATGCTACCTGGAAATTTAAGCAGTTACAGCATCGCAACGGCATTCTGGTCGCGATTATTGCTTCCCTTGATTTCGTGGGTTTTTCGAATATAAACTAAAATTTAATCAAATTTGACTTGGCTGTTCTTTCAAAGTCAAAGAAAGAGCCCTTCGGCATTCGTTCTCCGCAGAGACACACTCGTAAGTATTCCGAAGGTGACATATGAAAACGGCAGTCATGAGCAGGCAAGACTGCCAATGGGCCTCCCTTTCGAGAGTTGTTTGTAAGCAAGTTGGTTGTACTTAAAATTGTAATGATTCATCAAGCAATTTTCACCCTGATTGGCGAAAAGATGTCGCTGATAGTGCTGCGACACTTACAGTCTTCATGGACGAAATCCATTTAGCCGATGATGGGATTCATAAAGGTAAATCTCTCTCTCTCGTTTATGAAACCCTTTGTACAAACAAGTATAGACCAGAAAAAAACGAAACATTCTTCTCTAGATCGGAGAGTGATGTGTAAAACCGTTGCGCGATTGGCTTTTGTACTTCATA